TGGCTTCTTGGCTTTTTGGCTTCTCGGCTTCTGGCCTTTTCGGCTTTTTGTTGGTTTATGCGGCTTTTGGTAGCTTTTGGCTTTTCGCATCCTCTGCATTCCCAGTTCCTCTTCGGCAGGTGGCGTTTTAGCTTTTACGACTTTTCGCTGGTTTATGCGGCTTTTGGCGGCTTTGGCTTTTCGCATCCTGGCCTTTGCACCCTTTCATTGGTTTTTGGACTTGGCGTCCCGCATCATGCGCATCGCCAGTTCCTCCCTATTTAAATCATCACTTCTTCGAGCTGCCCCCCCCAACCCACCCGCTACTGTTTAGATTGTTTGCAAGGTAATTGCACCCCTATTTGAGTCAACGCTTCTTCAAACATCATGGGCCCCCGCTACTTTTTAGATTTCTTGCAGACATTGAATTGCACCCCTATTTGAATCATCGCTTTTTCGAGCGTGCAATTTCGCAAGAAAATGCTGCAAAATACGACATTTTAGGTAATCTGTGCAACCCATGTATGTCTGTACGTATGCGCTTCTTCGAGCATCATAGGGGAAGCCACCCCCGCCAACCCTCTCGCTGCCATTTAAATTCTCGCACCCTTTCTTGAATCATTGCACCCCTACTTGAATCATGACTTCTTCCGACATCATGGGGGGGGGCTGCTGCCCCCCCAAAAAGAAATATTATAAGGGGGTGTGTCGGGGATGGGTTTGACATTGGGAGTATAGTTTGAACGCATTGCCTCTCAATCCTATCACGCCTGTTCTGTTTTATCATCAAGATTTGCTCTATCCTCCTTTTCAAGGGGGTTTCTGGGAAATTTGCAATTTTCAATAAGTCAAGCAGTGGCAACCTTATTCACTTTTTCTGAGTTTTCAATGAGGTCAGCAACATCGCCTCATTCGTTTTCAAAAACCACAGGATTTCAAAAATATCTGAAAAATAGTATTGTTTAACCTTATTCATTCGTCAAAAACCTCACCCCCAAAAATAGTAGTGCAACAGATGACCAACTCTACAAAATAGTCATATTACACTGAGATAATATCAAGAAAAAAAATCTCCACGAATCATTGTCATATATTCAAGGCGTTCATAAAGATCGTTCACTGGTTCTACATTCTGTCTTCGGTTCTTCTGTCTTTGTTTCGTCCTTAGCGGTTATTAAATTGTCTTTGTGTCGTTTTGTTCTTTCGTGCCTCGCTTTATTTTGCAGTCCTATCATTATTTTACAGCAAGGACATTCGTATTGTTTATGTTTAGTTCCCTTTTCATTTGTTATATTATGTTCCTCCATATACTCTATACTCTTTTAACATGTTTTCTGAACAATTTTTTACAATCTTTCATTTAAGAACAGTCTAAGGTTTTGACATTTTCAAGGTTCAGGTTTCAGACCATTTTTAAGCTTTCTGGGGGATAGAATGATTCAATTATAGCAAATGATATGGATAAACTGAAAAATATTGCTTGTGGTAATCAACATAAATACCAAAGTTTTCACCAATCTCATTCCACCACCGGCACATCATCACAACCACATGGCAAAATCATCACAACCACATAGCAAAATCACAACAGCCACATAGCAACATCATCAAAATCACATAACGACATTTTCTGAACCACATTTCTGTTTACTTGTTTTCTTCAAACATGATGGGTCAATCATGTGTGTCTGTTGTCCTTCAACTGTGTGCCATCGGTGTCACGACTAAACCTCTCGCTGTTGCCACGGAATTGTCACACACTTTGACACATTGAAAACAAACGGTTGAGACTAAACAGAGCCCGTGTGACAGTTGTTTTGACAACTCCCTCAAAGCAAACAAACCCTTCAACTTCATCAGTTTCAGTTTCAATCTCATCCCCAGACCCACATTTCAACGTTGAACCCGAACCCACAAAATCCAAGGCCGCAACCCAACCCCCCACCCAAATACACTTAAAGAGAAAATACCTTTTATAGTATACAGAAATGGCAGGGGATTACAGCACAGGTTCAGTAATTGAATATCTAATATCCAATAACGAAGGTCAAATGGTCAAATAAAAACAGGAAAGAGTAACAAACCACTGAAAAACTAGTTCTCAACAACAAAGAATACTAGTACAACAAAAGACAAACCATTATCAACATCACTTCAAAACAAACTCAATCAAGTCAGCAACACACAAGGTTTCAAACAATTTAATCTTCTAACAAAAGCATCAAACACAATGAGAGGCAGTAAAACAATCCAGAAATACAGGATTAGAGCAGGAGCAAAAACATCAGAGACAATTTCAGCATTGAAACGATACGCCAACACATATTCAATAAAAGTATTATTTAAGGGGCATAAAGGACTAGCATATCTAAAATTGCAAGAAAAGAAACTAACAGAGTTTTTACAAGAAGCGAAACCAATTAAAATTATTATTGATGTTGATGTTATTTTTGACAAAGCTAATGTAGGTGGTGATGACACAGAAGACGCTGTCAGTGCGTCAAACACGCTTGGAATATCGACCGAAGATGACAATAATGAACACATAAGTATGAAAATGAGAAGCAGGAGATACAACATTCTAAACATTGATGATTTGAAAAGGCACTTGACAATATGCCTAAAGACATTGAACTACAAATTGAAAACTCACCATTGGGACATTCATAATTGAGAATTAACAAAGTTAATTAAATAAGCATCCACTACGACAAACACAATCCAAACAGAGCAGGTAAATATTTGGAACTACCAGAATGGGTTTCAAAAAAAAGTGTGTATCAACATTCAAAATGATGATGAATTATGTTTCAAATGCTGTGTTTTATGTAAACTTTAGAGCCTCCGGCTCAGTAAGCCAACATTGTCCTCTCCCTTTTCTCCTCTTTCCCTCTCTCTCCCTCTCTCTCCCTGTGTCTCTCTGTCTCTGCATTGCAGCGCCACGCCCCCCCTGACTGGCCTCGATGTCCAGGCACCCTTCATGACCCTGAACTGTCATCTTGCTATTGGCTTCCCCTTCACTTCCCCTTCATGTCCTTTTCACGTTTCCCATGATGTCCTGGTCATGTCCCTTCCATGCCTTTCAACTCCCCCTTCAGGTCCCTGACATTTTCTCGGTATGTCCGCTTCACTTTCCATGTACGTCCCGTTCTTTCGTTGCGAGTCATTTCCCTACATCTCCCGTCGTGCCGATTGGTGTCCTTGTTCTTCGTTTCCCTCTCATTCCCCCTGCACTCCCCTTGTTTTCCTTTCTGTCCCTTGCATGTCCCTTTTGGTTCCCCTTTTGTTTCCGCTGCTTTCCTGTCATGTCGACTTCCTATTTCCTCCCCTCATTTCCTTGCACTTCCTTGCATTTCCCCTTGCCCCCCAATACTGCGTTTTCGCAACCAGGACGTCAAAAACACAGAGTTTTCCAGATTTTCGGCAAAAGGGGGCAGGAACCCCAAACCAGCAAAGAGCCGGAAAAGGGAATCGAGCCTGGGACCCCTGTTTTGCGACACCGGCTCCCCGAAGGCTACGTTTAGTGGAGCGTCACCAAGTGTTGCTGTCTCAAATCCACTGTATGATTATCATAAACTGTTCCTAATGGACTGTCACGAAAATAAAAGGCGTTTCTGTCTATTACATCTCTGATATTCTTACTTGTATATTCTTCCTTTGTATTTTCCTTGATGAGTTCATTCTAAGGCGGTCTTAATCTTAATTGTGATGTTAGCGTTTTCATCTGTGTATTGTCTAATCTCGTTATATGAAGTTTAATTAGATTATATAATGTATTAATCTAATTATTTTACTCAAAGCCAAAATCCTTTCTTGATTGATTGATTAATCTTTTCTTCTTCTTAATATTTTCTGAGTCGGATTTACCTGTTTCACTTGACGGATGATGTCTCAATTTTTCACCTTCCAACCTTTGGATTTCATTAAAATACGCCTGTGGTTCATCCATATATATCTACGCTTGTCTTGAAATACAGCATAACCTGTCTTAGCGCTATTATATTATATTGTTTTTGTAATTCTTTCTTGATGTGCCTTGTTGTCTCCTTCGTAATAGTAATGTTGAGTTGATTTATTTTTTTGTTCTTTTTTGGTTTGTTTGTTTCAAAAACTGCTTTTCTATCAATGCCATCACTGGTATGCGGTTTATCTTTATTTTGCGATTCTGTTATTCTCTTTGCAACATTTGTCATAAATTTCTCTACGATGCATAAGCAATTGTTTCTTATCAATAATCGTTATATTACAATAATTAGAGTAAATAACTTTACTTGCTAAATTATTACTTTTCTGTTTATTTTTATTATCTCGCTCTGCCTTCACATTATTGTAACGGTCTTTCGCAGTTTCAAATACTTTGTTAGCAGTTGTTTCTAAATGTTTTTTAATCGTTCTTCAACTCTTCTTTCTATTTCTTGTTCATCCACTTTTGGAACATCGCTTTTTACTCTGTTATAAACATCTTCTTTGAGCTCTTCTGCTTGGACTGGATTGATGACCTTTTTTTCATTGGTTTGTTTAAATCTATAACTTTATTAGTGCCAGTTCATTTTCTCCTTCGTTTGTTTTTTAACAGCAAATTCGTTTAACTTCTTCAAGTACTTCATTATTTTCAACAGGCTTAACTTCCTCTACTGCTCCATTCCTCTGTGCTGACCATGAGCCGAACTCCCATGACCGTTCCTACCACCCAGGAAGCGGAGGGCATCGTGCACGCCATCAAGATGAGCACTCCGGCCAAGGAGAAAGCTCGACCATTCGACCTGGAGCGAAGGTCACCTACGACCCTCGGGATCCACGAGCCAAGGATCAGTGATGCTTTCAAAGGCATCTGGCGGACCAGCCCAAGTCAAACCCTCACGGTCAATGGGCCCACTGTGCGATCTGCGACCTTCGCCTGGAGTATGTGCCCAGGAAGGGATCTGCTGGCATGAGCACACAGAACCCAAATCCGGCCATCATTCAGAAGGCTCTCAACGGACTTCAGGTGCTCATAGGGTGCCAAACCGACGGCCAACATCATGAAGGCCATGGTCGAGAAGATCGCTGCCGAGGAAAAGCTCAAGGCGGTCATAAAGGAGCACGACAAGCACTCCCACAAGACCACGGTGAACACCATCACGAAGCCGTCCCTGACGAAGGGCTACGCGGAGGAGTCGTCCAACACAGGAGAAGGCCGAGCTCATGTCCACGATCCTGCCCCGGAAGAGCGCAACATCAGCTCATATGGAGAATGTCGAGGAGGCGGCCTGAAAGATGGACCTCACCGTCATCCACTTCCGCTACGGGTTGGCCACAAGCTGATGCAGCTGTCCGTTCTCATGACTGCGGCGACTTCGAGTCTTATCATGAACATGCACAAGGAGAACCACCTCAAGGGCGACTTTCTATGGGAATTTGCGTGTGCGCCGGAGAGCTGGCTGTCACAGGCCATCCTGGATCGGCACTTGATCGCCCGGCGTATCAACCTGAGCGAGGGCTATGACCTCTTCAAGCCAGATACCTGGAGACGCCTTCGGGTACTTCGAGATGTTCATAAGCCCAAGAAGCTCTGGTTCTCGCTTCCTTGCACCCACTTTTGCAACTGGGTATCTGTCAACTACAACACTCCCGAGCGCAAGGAGCGTCTTGAGGATCTGCGTCGAAAAGACCGGCGTATGATCCAAGGACTTCATCCTGGAGACCGTTGAGCTCTACCCCGACACTGACGTCTACTGGGAGTGGACACATCCATGTACTGGTTGGTCACAACAACCTATGGTGCAGCTACAAGATGGGCTACACAGCCGTCGTGGACTTTCCTGGCTACCCTGTCGCATTGACGGCTGCAACTACGGCATGGTCAACAAGGACGGCGCGCCCCTGCACAAGAAGTGGCGCACCCAAACTACGGATGAACACTTTGCCCAGTCATTCAAGACGAAGCTGTGTCCGGGAGGTCATGTCCATGGTCCCATTGAGGGAGCTGAGACGGCTCGCAGCGCGTACTACCCATGGAGGTTGACACAAGCCTGGGTACGCCACTGGCTACATCGTCTCGTTCCTGAACGGCACGTTCGCTTGATGATGCAGAAGGACTACGTCATGGCGGGCGAAGATATGCGGGAATCTACTGAGAGGCTACCGGCGCATGTCAGCGGTGACTCCGACTATGAACCGGAGATCAACGACGAGCTCTACAACCCACCAGCGTCACCGCAAACCTCAATTCCACGATCCAGTCGGGAACCTCCAGTACTACGACCAGATGACGAACCTCACAACCTGCCACGTGATCATCAAGCACCTCCGACCAACAACGGCGATGTGTCCAGTCAGATCGCAGCTGACGCTGGCATCTCTCCCCATGATCAGGAGAAATGGCGCCTGAAGATTCTCAAGTTCCACAAGGCTGCCGGCCATCCGGCGACGCGCAATTTGGTCCGCCTCTTTGAGGAGGCTGGCTATGAACCCTGGCAGATTGCTGCGGCCAAACAGTTCAAGTGCGACATCTGCGAAAGCCTGCGACCTAGTGGTACTAGCAGTGGTCAGATTCCACCAGCAGCTACACACGCTATGCATAAGGCCTGGGAGGCCGTTGGCGCCGATGCTGCAGAATGGGAGGTGCCTGGTACAACCCGGAAAATCAAGTTCATTGTCTTCGTGGACTTGGCCACAAAACTTCGGGTGGTGCAGCCGCTTCTAGAGTACAACTTCCTGGAAATGAGAAGTGAGAATGCCGAAGCCGTGATCAAGGCATTCTCCGAGCGCTGGTTGTCTGACAAACCCAAGCCAGACATCTTGATCCTGGACAACGCCAAGAGCTTCTCCAGTCAGAAGGTTCAGGACTTTTGCAACTTGCTCAACATACAACTCTCCTACGCCGCGGAGAAGGAAAGCTGGGCTCATGGTGTGATAGAGGCGGTGGTTCAAGACGTCAAGCATGTCTCTAATGCCATCAAGGGCGGCAGTCCTGAGCTACCTGATCAGGTTGTTCTACATCTTGCTGCTGCCTCGTTGAATGCCACGGAGTACACGCGGACTACTCGTCCTATCAGTGGGCCTATGGCAAGGACTTTCAGATGCAGGATGAGGATGTACGCACCTACGAGACCATTGAGGGATCGGAGGGTACTACCTTCCATCAATTGGTCACGGCTCGACAAAGAGCCGAAGACATTGCGCGTGCTACCCGTGCCAAGCGCATCCTGACTGTGCGACAACCTTTGAGACTCTACAAGCCCACTGAGCTGGTGAAGGTCTGGCGCCGACAATGGCCCAACCAGCAGCACACTGGCAAGCGTGGCGGACGTCTCAAAAGTGGCCGACCACACTGGATTGGTCCTGGACGCGTGGTCTTCTCTGAGGTTCTACCACATCAAGAGACTGGAGATGAGAGGCGCCACATCACATGGGTTCTCATTGGAAAGAAGCTCCTGCGCTGCTCTGCGCACAGTGTTCGGCCTGTCACGAACACCGAAAGAGCTATCTACGAGATCAGTGGCTCTGACGATCCATCTCAGTGGCGCTCATTGGCAGATGTCCTTCCGGATCGCACCTACATCGACATGGCCGACGACGAGCCTGACGACGAAGAACGGGAGCTACCTGATCTACCACTAGCGCCTGATCGATCTACACGCTTATTTCGCTTGCGGCAACAAATCCTCAAGGAGAAGCCACGGAAGCCTGCCAGACGTGTCCACTTCAAGCAGAAGGTGACCGACGTCACCGATGAGGATCTTCTACCTCCAGATGTGCGCGCAGGCGACGATTCTGGTGTACCGGTACTAGAGCCGAGCTCTATGGCATCTTCGTCTACTGGACCTACCGACGAGCACGTCAACGACTACGAGCCAGAGGCCAAACGCCTCAAGATCGGTGAGAAACTCGCTGACATGGACAACAAGGCGCTAGAGTCCGATTGGGTGACTGCTCTGCTGAGCAGACCTCGCATCTCGATCTCTACGCCGCTCTACAGCAAGCGGATGAGGTCCTCACCATGGAGTTCGATTTGGACTTCGTCACCAACCGTCAGAGGAAACAGTTTTGCAAGGGCCCGGCGGTCTACATGATCAAGAAGATGCGAGACTGCGAGGTGAACGTCAACAAGCTGTCCACTCAACATCAACAGCTCTTCCAGCGCGCTAAGCTGAAATAAATGGACTCCTTCATCAAAAACTCTGCTGTGCGCCGATGCCTCGACGACGACGAGGTCAAGCAGGCCTACGGGGAGAAGCGAATTGTCAGGGCACGCCGGGTGTTGACATGGAAGCTTGTGCCTCCGGAGGAACAACCAGAAGCTCAACAAGACGCTCAGCAGAACGACAAGACCGTACACCTACATGACGGCACGCGGAAGGCCAAGGCTCGCATTGTGCCACTTGGCTATGAGCACCCGGAACTACTAGACCCGGCCTTCAAGACAGCAAGCCCCGTGCAGAGCAATGTTGGCCGGAACCTGCTCTACCTCATGGCATGCCATCATCGGTGGCAACTACGCGGCATGGACCTCGCGAACGCCTTCCTACAGACACAACCTATGGAGGCTGACAGCCGCATCTGGACAACGGGCGTCAAGGAACTTCGAGAAGCGCTTAGTGCCAGCGACCATGAAGCGCTACACATCTTGAAGAACGTCTACGGCAGCACTACGGCTCCACGGGGTCTGTGGCTGCATCTACATCGCACTCTTACCGAGCTTGGTGCCCGCGCAGTGCTTGGCGAACGTTGCTTGTGGATATTTACCAGCCAGTATCTGACAGACCGCGACAAGCCCAAGGTGATCGGTGCCATGGGTGGCCACGTTGATGATTTTCATCAGATTGGCGATCAGTCCAGTGATGAGTGGCTAGACATCAGGGGCAAGATCGACAAGCTCTTCCAATGGGGCATGTCAAGGGACGGTAGTTATCGACATGCCGGCACAGACATCACTACATTCTAGACAAAGCTGGCTTGATGACCATCTCCGTGGATCAACAGTACTACATCGAGACGCTTCAGGACATTGACATTGAACCTTCAAGGCTCATGCAACCGGACATGGACCTTACGAACCGGGACATTGGTGCTTGCAGAGCAGCAATAGGGGCTCTACAGTGGCTGGCGCATCAAACGCAACCACAGATCTGTGCTCGATGTAACATCCTGATGTCGGAGCTCATGAGTGGCAAGAAGATGAGCACCGCCAAGGGGATCCAGGGCATTATCTGCGAGATTCGCAGGAGCTCAGCCCGGTTGCACTTCCAGCACTTTGAGCACGCCAAGGACTGGCGCGACGTCACCTTCGTCACCATGGGCGACTCTGCGCATAGCAATCGACCTGATGGCGAGTCTACAGGCGGCCTTCTCACACTGGCCGCCGGCCCGGACGTTATCAAGGGTGGAGTGGTGCCGATGAGCATCATTGGCTAGAAGTCTTGGAAGTTGAAGAGGCGTGCCATCTCTTCAAACGATGCAGAGGTTCAAGCATTGGTGGAGGCGGAGGACGCCAACTTTCGTGTGCGTCTGCTATGGGCAGAGCTGCATGGAACAGGTACGCAAGCTACCGGACGCATCGCTCTAGACGACAATGCCGAAGACACTGTCAAGCAGACACCGGGAATCGTGTGTACCGATTCGAGAGGCGGTTATGATGCGGTGCAACTTCATGAGTCTCCTCTCCTTGGACTCTCCAACATGAGAGCTGCGCTACAAGCCTTTCAGGTGAAACGGAGCCTGTGGCACCACACTTCGCTGGCTGGCATCAGACTACAATGCGGCAGATTCTCTCACCAAGAAGGCACCTTCATGCCGTGATGGTCTATGGAAGCTCCTGAAGACCGGCATGTGGTGTGTGGCCTACGACCCAACCTTTCAGGCCGCCAAGAAGGCAGCCAAGCAGGGCAACACTGCTCTTTGACGAGTCCAACGTCACATTGAGGGCGTCAACTGAAGAAGTTTCTTTACACAGTCAGTCGATCGCCTCATCTGCCGGCATCACCACTCAAGGAGAGGGGCCCCTTTTCTTCACTCAGTCCCGCTCTAGTGAGCGCAGACATGGCATGGACGGGTCGCTGAGACCCTGAGAGGAAAACAGATCCCGCGCTCTGGCTGCGCCTTTGGATCCGTTGCACATTCCCTTCAACTTTATAATATTTATTAAGCATCATACCACGACCTATATTTGAAATGGTGTATATATTATTATGCAATTGTGCAATTTTGAAGCGGTTTCTTTTCGTGATGTGTAATTACCTTTTCCTTTGTTATAAATATTGACTTTATCACCGTCATTTAGTTTAGGATGCTTTCTTAGATGTTTCTCTTTCATTAATGAGTTCGCCTTTGCTTCCACTTCCTTTTCGTCTTTGTGTGCTTCATTAGGTGTAAGTCTTGTTGCCCTGTGTGTCACCTGTTGGTTATATTTTGATAAAACTGCTGGTAATAAACTCGTCCAAGTTCTACTAGTCGCTTTTATTCTGTCTCCTAACATCTTTTTAACAGTTCTTATTGCTCTCTCTGCTACATTCGCGTGTGTCAGTGTCACAACGCCCCTTATTGCCTCCCCGTCTAAATACTCTTGTAATTTGTTATATGCGAATGCCCCGTCATCATCTGTATAAATACTCATCGGATGACCTAATACTTTGAAGCCTTGAAGTATTTCTTTACAAACAGTCTCAATGTCTCTAACCTTCATCGGTTCAATGTGTAGTTTCTTACTGAA